GAAATATACAATGTATTTTTTGACAAGCTAACATCCTTGTGTGTGGGGTTTCTTTTTTTATATACTTTTTTATTGTAAAAATACTGTACAGAGGGGTTACAGTTACAAGTAAGGTAATGAGTACATTTCCTATCAAGCATTCTTGCCTCCTCTTTTGTTTTTCCCCAACCATCCCTTTCTTCCCACCTCCCCAACTACTCCCCCCTGCCCCCCCGCCGTGTGTAGGGTTTCTAAGTTTGCTTTTGCTTTATTTTAGCCTGTGTGTGTATGTGTATGTGTGTGTGTGTGCTTGCATGTCCACATGTGCACATTTGCACCCAGACTGGGATTTAAACTCAGGACCTGGCCACTCAGCATTTTTGCTCAAGGATGGCACTCTACCACTTGAACCACACTGTACTTCCAGTTTTTGCTGGTATTAATTGGAGAAAAGTGTCTTTCAGGTTTCTGCCTGGTGTTGGCTTTGAACCTTGGTCCTCAGATCTCAGTCTCCTGAGTAGCTAGGATTACAGGTGTGAGCCACAGGTGCCCAGTTTAGCCTGGCATTTTTTTTTGTGTGTGTATGTCTGTGTCTGTGTGTCTGTCTGTGTCTGTTCTGGGGCTTGAATTCAGACCTGAATACAGTCCTTGGGCTTCTTCTTCTGCTGTTTCTTCTTCTTCTGCTGCTGCTGTTTCTTCTTCTTCTTCTTCTTTTGCTCAAAGCTGGTATTCTACCACTGGAGCCACAGCTTATGTCTGGCTTTTTGATGTTTAATTAGAGATAAGAGTCTAATAGACTTTTCTGCCTGGGCTTTGAACCACAACTATCAGATCTTGCCTTCTGAGTAGCTAGGATTAAAAGCATGAGCCACTAGGGCCTGGCTAGCCTGGCATTATAAGACAGCCTTAGCACTGATCAATAGATCAGTGCTTGCCTATCATGTATGATAGGTAAAAACTAACAAAGAAAAACAAAAATAAGCGAGTAAATAAAAAGAGTTTAAAAATAGCCTTAAAGCAAGAGAAAATTGGAAACCTGACTAAGAAAGAGAAAACATCTGCTGGGGAAGAATGATTTTTACCTAATATTCTAAAGCTGTGCAGCATTCATTATTATTGATGGCAGGTTAATAATCTAAGAAGAGAGGGAATTTTAGGTCAGGAATGTTTTGCACAAAATTGAGGCTGCTTTTGTCCACTGAAGATAAGATAGACAAATAAAAGATTGCAACAGAATAAATTACCTCATGAGATGGCCCTGGTGGGGATTGACTCCTCCCTGCCCTTCCCCAACTGCCTCCAGATGACAGGAAACAGATCTGTGTTGTTTTTCTGCCTTCTAATCACCTGCCTCATGTTTAAGCAGCAGAGAGACTTGAGTTATAAACACAGCTCTGCCCAGAGCTCTCGGCTCAGTGTGGCATTTAGAATATTCTTGTTTTCATTTTTTAATGTTTTCTGCTATCTTTCAGTTCCCTCATGATCCTTTCCAGAACATACCACAGTGCCTGGGCACAAAGTAGCTAACAAGCTGGGAGCTGGTGGCTTATACTTATAATCCTAGCTACTCAAGAGGCTGAGATCTGAGGATTGAAATTCAAAGCCAGGGAAGTGGTGCTGTGGCTCAAGAGGTAGAGTGCTTGCCTTGAGCTGAAGAGAGCAGGGACAGTGCCCAGGCCTAGAGTTCAAGCCCCACGACCAACGAAAACAAAAACAAAAAAAGAAATTCAAATCCAGCTATGAGAAATTCAAAGTCTATGAGAACTCTTATCTCCAAGTAACCAACAAAAAGCCAGAAGTGGAGGTGTGGCTCAAGTAGTAGAGCACCAGCCTTGAGTGAAAAAGCTAAGGAACAGCACTGAGGCCCTGAGTTTAAGGCCTAATGCCAGAAAAAAAGTAGATGTCCAATACAATTCTGATGAATTGTTTCCAATTTAGAGATGAATTCTGGGGAAAAGTCAAGTGGCTAATAAGGGATGATTCCTTTCTCTGGAGTCCTATTGCTCAGCAGCAAGGTCCTCAGAGGAAAGGCTCTTCTCATCATTCTTGCCAGTGTCTTTAGGACAGATAGATAGCAGGCTTTCCAGTTGGGTCATTTTTTCCTGAAGTTTCCTAGGAAAAGACAAGAATTGTTGCCCAGCACTAATGGCTTGTAATCTTAGCTACTCAGGAGGCTGAGGTTTGAGGATCCTGGTTCCAAGCCAGCCTGGTTGAATTCTTATCTCCAATTACCCAGCAAAAAACTGGAAGCAGAAGTGTGGCTCAAGTGGTAGAGCAATAGCTTTGAGTGAAAAAGCTCAGTGATAGTATCCAGGACCTGAGTTCCACTCCTAGTTTCAAGCCCTTCTTCCTCACCACACAGACAATAATTGTTGAATGGCAATCAATAATTAACCACAGACTGTTCTAATTTTACCGTCTAGAGCAGGGGAGCTTTCCCCAAGGTCCCTGCTTCAACCCAGCAGAAAAAGCTAGGGCTGTCTTGGTTTGTAACACTGTTTTGTTTTGGTATCAGGAAGCCCTGTGATTTTTCTCACCAACAAAACATTTTTTTTGAATACATGTGACTATATTACTGGCAACTACCAATAACTGTAGTGGCCAATTAATTTTATCTGATATTATAGTTTAAAATGAAAATATCCCAAAGCAGCTAAAAGTCTCCATATTCCTGCCTCAGCCTCCAGGGGACAAGATTACAGGTGTATACCACCACTGAGGGCCCTACATTCACTCTTTGCCTGGGGCTTGAACTTGGGGTCTGGGCCCTGTTCCTGAGCTTTTGTGCTCAAGACTAGTGCTCCATCATTTGAGTCACAGTTCCATTTCTAGCTTTTTGGTGGTTAATTGGAGACCAGAGTTTCATGGTTCTGCTCAGGCTGGATTCAAACTATGATCTTCAGATCTCATTAGGATTACAGGCATGTAATTGGTTCCATGTCTCTTACATGGAAAGAAAGTAGGAGGATTCCACGTACATCTTTGTTTAAACTGTTATCTTTCTCAATAGATTTGTTTACCTTTCATAATTCTTAGGTGTTACAGGAAATACATAGTATTGCATAAAACTGTCACTGCTGAAAATGGGCAGTTAGTGGCATATGAAAATAAAATTTAATAGCTTTGCTGTTAATATGTTACTATGGAGACTTATGTTCAGTGATTCCTAAACAAGTATAAAAGCTCTTGTTGTATTTACTTCTACTACTTGTATGTTGTGATTCTATAGCCTCCTCCCCTTTTTTCTTTTTGAGACAGGATCTCACCTTATTTAGCCCATCCTGGCCTCAAACTTACTACATAGCTAGCTTCAAACTCATGATTCTCCTATTCCCAGTTAAATTTTGGAGTACAGAAGAATAGAAATGCTGTTAGGGTTTTTTTTTTTTTTTTGGTAGTACTGGGGCTTGAACTCAGGGCCTCATACTTGCTAGGCAGGTATTCTATCTTGAGACATGCCTTGAGTACTTTTCTGCTTTTGTTACTTTTCATGTAGGATCTTGTGTTTTTGTCCACTGGGCCTCAGACTAGGATCCTCCTACCTATGCTTCTTGCATAGCTGGAATGAAAGGTATATACTACCACCTCTGGTTTATAAATGGAAATGTGATCTCACTAACTTTTTGCCCAGGCTAGCCTTGAACCATTATCTTCCTGTTCCCCAACTCCAAGTAGATGTGTTTACAGGCATAAACCACCATATACAACCTAGAAATATTAATTTTTAAAGGCAAAGAGGCACAGAGAAAGGAAATCAAGTGAAATAAACTTCTGAAATTCTAAGGCCAAGCTGGCAAGTTGAGCAGGTTGGATAAATTGCAGTGTTTCCCTTTCCATTCCATTCATGGGGAAAAAGAGGAGAAAGGGAAGGAGGCGTGCCAAGAGCTCAGCGTGTGCAGTACTGATTTCTGAGGAATCTAGAGCAGGGAATTAGCTCTTGGAAACAGTGAAAACCACAGCTCAGGTTTTTCTCTGACTGTCTGCAATTCTCTAGTCCATTGTGAAATGCTAGATAAATGCAATCCACAGGTACAGGAATGCAATGCAATCAAAACAGAAAGCAGGAGAGGCTAATTTTCTTCCCTTTGATTGATACGGTCAATCAAACCTACTTGCTTTAGGGTGCTTCTGTTTCCTTCCTTGTCACATTGAGTACAGAAGTGTGGGAAAGCCTCACCTTACCTTAGGGTTACAAAGGGCAAGAGACCTGCAGAAGTTGGGAGACCTGAGTTTATGATCTTAAGTTCACAGCACAGTTGATAATTGGTGAAGAATGAGTTCTGAGAAGACGAATGATTATTGGCAACAGGACAAGTAGAATTTGGGAAGTTTCACAAGACAGGAGGCTGCTTGACTGATCTCAGCACCACTGTTTCAGCCTTGCGCCATAACAGCAATTGCCATTTGCAGTGTGCCTATCATGCATCAGGCTCTCCCGTGATTATTTCACTTAGTCCTCATGTAAAGCAGTTAGAACCGTGCTATTCCCATTACAGATGAGGAACAGAGGAACTTGACCAAGGTCACCTAGCTCGTCAGTGTTTTTCTCATCTGTTAAAATGAGAAGAGTCAATGACAGAAACAGAATGCATCGTTTAAAGTCGCTCGAGATCAGACACCAGGAGCCACAAAAGAGGAGAGAGGCCTAGGAACATAGAGTTCCAGAAATGAATTTAGCTTTTCTTATGGCTTCGAAGACGCATGCGCATGCTGTTCGCGGCGGTCTCCTCCCGGCGCTCCTGGAGCAGACCACTGTCGCCCTCTGTTGACGTCGTGCGGGAGTGTTCTAGGAATGAACATCGGCGGGATCTGAGGGCGGGGAGAGTCCTCTCGCCTATAGAGGGCGCCATTCGGTCTGCCAAGCAACTCCCTCCTGCCGTCCCTTCCTCAAGAACTTCCCGTGTGAGCTCTATGATCCGCCTGCGAGAGACTAGGAAAGTTCCTTCGCGTTCAGCTTACCGTAAACAAAGTCGCGCAGAGACCCGGAAGTAGAAGCTGTAGTTCCGAGTGAGCGCTGGCCGTCCGGAAGGAGGCCATCGGGGCCGAAGCTGTCGCTATGGCTGTGGCTGTGGCCACCGCGGGAATCCTGATGGCCTCGGAGCCAGGCCCTGCGGAGGAGCTCGCCAAACTCGAATATTTGTCTTTGGTATCGAAGGTTTGCACGGAACTGGACAATCACTTAGGGATCAACGACAAGGATCTAGGTGAGCTGGAGAAGGGCCCTTCGGCCTTCGGAGTTGGGGGTTGAGCGAAGCCGGTGCTAGGAGGTGATGGGCGGTGTGGGGTTGAAATGGAGGGAGGTAGCCGCCCTGGTCTCTGCTTGAAGACCTTCCAAACTGAACTGTTAGAAACCACTTCTCAGAACTGTTGAGTCAGGCCGGGCTGACCATCTCTACTTAGTTTTTGTTTTTATTTTTTCAGTCTTCGGTGCTTAAACATATTTAACAACGACAACAGCTGCCGCCTCGTAGATGGACAATTATGACTGACGTTTGTTTATTGGATGTGAGCTGTATGCCAGGCATTCTGGCCAGCTCTATTTACTTCATCTTATTTGGTCCTCTAGCCTTTGGGAGATAGTGTTGGTAGAGTGGTAGCCTTCAGCAAAAGAAGCTCAGGGACAGTCCCCAAGCCCTGAGTTCAAAGCCTCAGGACTGGCCAGAGAAAGAGAGGGGGGGGGAAGGAGAGAGAGAGGAGAGTGAGGGAGGGAAAGCCCACGGGGAGAGCTGTGAGCACAACCAGAGAGAGAGCGAGAACAACAGCCAGACTTGAATCAATATATCCCGTGACCCTCCTTTTTCTGCTTATATGGTACTGAGGAATTGAACCCCGGGCTTCATGTATTCTAGGCAAGCACTCTACCACTAAGCCACATTCCCAGCCCAACAGGAGTATGTTGTTGTGAATGTAGGTGGGTTCACAGACTGGTGGTAGGAAGATGACTGAGAAATTGCCATCTGACTGCTCTTGTTTCTAAATATGTGGGAAAGTCAGATGGAAGGGTGGAGGGAAGCAAGAGTCATGTGGTAAGAGAAGGCAGGGGAGATGGTACAGTGGTAGAGTGTGTAGATTTGTTCCCCAGCACCACCGCTTAAAAAAAAAAAAAAAAAGGTCAGTGAGATCAGATTCATGACTTCAAGTGAGAGATAGTTTTTCTGAAGCTATTATTTTTTTCGTCTGTGAAGTGAGGTGATAATGTCTTCCTTGCAGAGTCAACACATAGCATCTAGGAAGACGCGCTGCAGACAGTTTATTTTTCCCTTGCCTCCCATCCAAGGTTGAGCATCCCTAAACTCAAAATCTGAAACCTAAAAACTTTGGTGAATATGAATGTACTCCTGCCTGCTTTGGGATAAAATGCTCCTTAAGCTTGACACGCTGAACATCATGTGACTTAATTTTCTCTCCAACTGTCTCTAAAGAATTTGAGTTGAGGCAAATTGTTTGGATTCCAAATGTAGGGCTCCACCAATTATGATTGACTAGGATGGTGTCTTTTTTTTTTTTTTGTCGGTCTGTCCCTTAGCTCTTCAGCTCAAGGCTAGCGCTCTACCACTTGAGCCACAGCACCACTTCCGGTTTTCTAGTGGTTTATTGAAGATAGGAGTCTCACAGTCTTTCCTACCTGGGCTGGCTTTGAACCGTGATCCTCAGATCTCAGCCTCCTGAGTAGCTAGGATTACAGCTTAGGATGGTGTCTTAAATAACAATATGATAGTAGTGCCTACTTAGGAAGATCTTGAGGACAGCATTTAAAACCCTTAGCATAGTGCTTGACAGTAATGCCAAACAACTGTTAACCATTGCATTGCTGTTAACTTTTTTTTTTTTGGTTGGTCATGAGCCTGAACTCTGAGCCTCAGCTCTTCAGCTCAAGGCTAGCACTCAAGGCTAACACTTCTGCTTATATGGTCTGAGGAATTGAACCCAGGGCCTCATGCATGCAAGGCAAGCACTCTACCACTGAGCCACCTTCCCAGCTCCATGCTAACTTTATTATGCATAAGTTATAACCATGTAGCTTGATGGCTCATGGACTTTCACTTAATGTCATCAAAAAGGCTCATGCCTGTAATCCTAGCCCTCAGAGGCTGAGATCTGAGGATAATGGTTCAAAGCCAGCCTGAAATCCTCAGATCTCATATACTGAGACTCTTATTTCCAATTAACCAGTGAAAAGCTGGAAGTAGAGTTATGACTCAAGTGGTTGGAAGTAGAGTTATGACTTAAGTGGTAGAACTCTGGCCTTTAGCAAAAAAGCTAAGGGAAGAGTGCCTAGCTCCTGAGTACCAGCATGTGCATGTGCATATGCACACATGCACATAGTTCTCTTTAAATCCAGGTCCCAGTGGCTCAGACCTGTAATCCTAGCTCTTTATGAAATAGGAGGATTGAGGTTTGAGGCCATTCTAGCCAAAAAATGCCCAAGACCCCCCATCTCAACAGAAAAAGCTGGGACTGGTAATGGATACCTGCATCCCAGTTATGTGTAAAATGGGAGGCTCATGGCCCATGCTGGCTAGGGCAAAGAGTAAGACCCTATCTTAAAATAAGCAGAACCAAAAGGACTGGTTCAAGTGATAGAACACCTGGCTAGCAAATGCAAAATCCCGAATTAAAACCCCAGTACTCAGGGACAAAAAAATAATACTTAATTCGGTATACAAGGATAATAATCTCAGCCATCTAAATTTTCTTTCTTTACATGATATCCTTCGGTCATTATGACAGTTGGATACCCTAATTAGTCTTTTTGTTTTGTTTTGTTTTTGTCAGTCATGGGGCTTTGAACACTGGGTCTGGGTGCTGTACCTGAGCTCTACCACTTGAGCCACAGCACCACTTCCGGTTTTCTGGTAGTTTTATTGGAGATAAGAGTCTCATGGACTTTCCTGCTCAGTTTGGCTTTGAACTGCAACCCACAGATCTCAGCCTCCTGAGTAGCTAGGATTATAGGCATGAGCCACCAGCACCCAGTTTAGTCTTGTTCTTTAATATGCTTAAAACTAATTTCTTCCTCAAGTTTCTTTTCAATTCTTTTTTTCTCCTTTGTAGCTGAATTTGTGATCAGTCTTGCTGAGAAAAATACCACCTTTGATACATTTAAGTCTTCCCTTGTCAAAAATGGAGCAGAATTCACAGTATGTATATTTAATGTCACTATTTTTTTAATGTCACTATTAAATTTAAGTTTTGATAGTACTTATTACAGGGTTTGGATATAGACAGGAGACTGTATGTACCAGTTCAGTAAGCCACTAAATGAGTAATGTTTTCGTGCCATAAAGGAGGACCAAGGGAACCCAATTTCTTGAGACACCTTTGTAGGGAGATGCAGTGGGCTTTCCTCTCTGTGGATGTTTATATATTTGTTCTGTGAATCTTGAATGCAGAAACAAGATTCAAGATGTTGGAAGTATGGGAAATAAGTGGATTAAGGTAACAAATTGACTTTTCAAGGAGTCCTAAACATCAGCTTTCTCTGGAGCTACTAATCTGGCTTAATGCTGATTGGTATCTGGTGCTTCATTTGTTCTAGTTAGCTCAGTTCAAGTACATATCACCCTTTCCACTAAGACAATCTCTGTCTCCTCTATTTCTTCCTTCTTCCCTCCTTTCCTTCTCTCTTTTTCCCCTCTTTCCTCTGTCCTCTCTCTTCCCTATTTCCCCTCTCTTCCTTCCCCCTCTCTCCCTCTTTCCCTTCTCTCTCTCTTCTCTCTTCTCTGCTGGTATTGTGGTTGAACTCAAGACCTTGAAAAACCTGGCTTGCTTGCTCATAGTGACACTACCACTTGAGCCATGCCCCCAACCAACACTTTACTGGTTAGTTGGAAATTGAGTCTGCAAGATTATTCTACAGGCTGGCTTTGAACTGCATTTCTCCAGATCTTTGCCACCTGAGAGCTAAGATTATAAGCATAAGCTACTGGCACCAGGTTGTCGTTTTCCCTTTTCTAGGTATATTTAATCAGTGATTTAATGGCTGACAATTTTTGTTCTGTATTTCTTTTCAAAGGATTCTCTTATTAGTAATCTACTTCGACTCATACAAACTATGCGCCCTCCAGCAAAGCCTTCTACTAGCAAAGGTGAGCACAACTTCCAGCAGACCTCAGCGTCCAGCCTGGTTTAGATTATGAACACCCTGTAAACTGTGCTGTTTTCCTCTCAGCAGCTGATAGCGAGTGAACGTTCTGTTAAAATTTTTCACATGACTTTAAGACCTAAGCCAGTGGGTGCTGCTGCACTATTCTTTGTACATGGCCAGAGGGTTTGTTGAGGGTTCTTCAGGCAATGTGTGCTTAATAGGAAATTAAATTGTGTTTCTAGTAATTATGTGGTTAGCATGTAACAAAAATACCACATTGTTTTTTCAGTTTAATGTAAATGTAATGTTGAAGTTATTTTGTTAACTACTAATAATATTAAATCTGTCTCTCTTTTTTTTTAACCTCTTCATGCTCTTTAATGAAATAAGATCCAGTTAAACCCAAAACAGAAAAAGAAAAGCTGAAAGAACTCTTCCCGGTCCTTTGCCAGCCAGACAACCCATCTGTTCGGGTACGGATACCATTTTGAGAACGTCTGCTCTAAGTGTGTGTCCTCCACCGCTATTCTTTGTCTCGTTAGTGACTCTCTGAATTGTAACTTTTCTTTTTCTTTTTGGTCATGGGGCTTGAACTCTGGGCTTGGGCGCTGTCCCTGCACTCTTCAGCTCAAAGGCCAGTGCTCGAGCCACAGTACCACTTCCAGTTTTCTAGTAGTTTATTGGAGTTAAAAGTCTCACGGACTTTCCTGCCGGGGCTGGCTTTGAACCGAGATCCTCAGATCTCAGCCTCCTGAATAATAGGATTACAGGCGTGTGACACCAGTGCCCGGCTCAATTTTTTTTTGTTGGTCGTGGGGCTTGAACTCTGGGCCTGGGCACTGTCCCTCAGCTCTTCAGCTCAAGGCAAGCACTCTTACTACTTGAGCCATAGCACCACTTCCGGTTTTCTAGTGGTTCATTGGAGATAAGAGTCTCACAGACTTTCCTACCTGGGATGGCTTTGAACTCTGATCCTCAGATCTCAGCCTCCTGAATAGCTAGGATTATAGGCGTGAGCAACCGGTGCCCTGTGCTGTGACCTGTTTTTCAGAGTGAAAGCATTTGTTTGCTCCCTGAGCTTGAACTATGTTTGCATAGAATAGTGTTAAAGGGTTCAGAGAAGGGAAAGGGGTTAGGGATGGATCAGAAATGTGAGATCATTATGAAGTAACTTACAGTTACTGGTACATGCCTAATGTGTGAAATTAGATTTTTTTTCCATTACATATATTAAAAGGTGTCATTTTTTTTTTAGGTATTTTGACTTCTAGATTTCACTTTAGCAAGTATTTATTATTTTGTATATCAACCACTATTCAAAGTTCTATATCTAGTATATACAATGAACAGAATAGATAAGAGTTTTCCTCTTTTTTGGGGAGGTATGCTGGTGCTGGGACTTGAACTCAGTGTCTCAAACTCTCACTCAGCATTTTTGCCTCTGGTTGACACTCTAACGCTTGAGTTATCACTCCAATCTATTTTTTTCCTTCTTGATGACTATATTATAGTTTGGGATGGTGAACTGGAAATAAACATGTAAGTAGTCTAATGTAATAAGTAGGTATAGTTGCCTCTCAGTATCTGCAGGGGATTGGCTCCAGAACCCTCTTACATGAAAATCTGTACTCTAGTTCCTTATATAAAATGGTGTAGTATTTGTACATATCTACATAATTTCTACATATCTTTTTGTGTACTTGAAATCACCTCTGGTTTTCCTCATATGATGAAAATGCTGCTTGTATTATTTTTTTTGGGGGGGGGTCCGGTTGTGGGGCCTGAACTCTGGGCCTGGGCGCTATCCCTCAGCTCTTCAGCTCAAGGCTAGCACTCTACCACTTGAGCCACAGTGCCACTTCTGGCTTTTTTTTCTTTTTGCTTATGTGGTGCTGAGGAATCGAACCCAGGCCTCATGCATGCAAAGCAAGCGCTTTACCACTGAGCCACCTTCCCAGCCCCCAAAAATGCTGCTTGTATTATATGTATACAGTGCTACCCACTGTACACTATAGAGAGTGATGTCAGTGGTAGGGCCACGGAGGAAGTGTAGGGTCATGGGACTCGAACTCAGGGCCTGGGTGCTGTCCCTGAGCTCTTTTGCTCAAGGCTACTGCTCTGCCACTTTGAGCCACAGCAGCACTTCTGTTTTTCTGGTGGTTAATTGGAGAGAAGAGTCTCACAGGGATTTTTCTGCCCAAGCTAACTTCAAACCACAATCCTCAGAGCTCAGCCTCCTGAGTAGCTAGGATTATAGGCATAAGCCATCAGCTCACGGCTCTTTGGGAAACTTTTTTTTTTTTGGTCAGTGGTGGGGCTTGAACTCTGGGCCTGGTGCTGTCCCTCAGCTCTTCAGCTTAAGGCTAGCACTCTACTACTTGAGTCACATTGCCATTTCTGGTTTTCTTTTGGTTAATTAGAGATAAGAGTCTCACAGACTTTCCTGCCCATGCTGGCTTTGAACCGTGATCTACAGATCTCAGCCTCCTGAGTAGCTAGGATTACAGGTGTGAACCACTGGCGCCCGACAGGTGCTTGTGTTTTTATCCCCTTTTCCTCCTAACTTTGCTCATCTCTGCACCTGTAGACCATGCTGGATGAAGATGATGTGAAGGTTGCCGTGGATGTCTTAAAGGAACTGGAAGCCTTAATGCCCAGTGCAGCAGGCCAAGAGAAGCAGAGAGACACTGAACACCGGTTTGTCACTAGTATCCTGTGTTTTTTTTATTTATGATACTATAATAGTTGCGTTATTTAGGCCAGTTAAGCAAAATTTGGGGCAGTTTTGTGGAATCTATCATTCTTGGGCCTGTTTTCATTGTTCCTGGTTAAGAGTATTTATGCAGCAAATGCTAGGTCGAGATTGGAGTTAAAAGAGGTGAAATGTGCTTGGTACCGGTGGCTCACACCTGTTAGCTTAGTTACTCAAATACTGAGATCTGTGGATTCTGGTTCAAAACCAGCCAGACTTTTTTTTTTTTGTCAGTTGTAGGGCTTGAACTCTGGGCTTGGGTGCTGTCCCTGTGCTCTTCAGCTCAAGGCGAGCACTCTACCACTTGAGCCACAGCGCCACTTCCAGTGGTTGTTTATTGGAGATAAGAGTCTCACGGACTTACCTGCCCGGGCTGGCTATCTTTGAACCGTGATCCCCAGATCTCAGCCTCCTGTGTAGCTAGGATTACAGGCGTGAGCCACCGGCACCAGCTCCAGCCAGACTCTTATCTCCACTTAACCTCCAAAAAGCCAGAAGCTGTGGAGCTGTGGCTCAAATGGTAGAATGCTAGCATTGAGCAAAAAAGCTCAGAGACAGTGTTCAGGCTCTGAGTTCAACCCCAGTAACAGCACCCAAAAAAAGAAGGCTAAATATGTATGTATCCTGTTTCTTTATTGGCTTGCAGGAGTGTCATTATCATTGAAGCTAATTCAGTTCAGCACATAGTAGATGCCTGCCATGGGTATGGCACTGTGCTGGATGTTTGGGGATGCAAAGATGAAATTGGGCTGATTTCTTTTTCAAACAGGTACTTGTTGATTTGTTAGGGACAGGACAAAGAAAAAGAAGCGGAGTCGGAGCCGGAGCCGAGATCGAGACCGTGACCGTGACCGAGAGCGAGAGCGAGATAGAGACCGAGACAGAGACAGAGAGCGAGACAGAGACCACAAGCGGAGATACCGATCCCGCTCTCGATCACATTCCAGGACCCGAGAGAGAAATAAAGGGAAGTCTAGATATCGGTCCAGGAGCAAGAGTCACAGCCCCCTCAAAGACCGAAAGGACAGGGATAAGTATGGAGAGAGAAATCTGGACAGATGGCGGGATAAGCATGTGGACCGCCCTCCCCCTGAGGAGCCTGCCATCGGGGACATTTACAATGGCAAAGTTACCAGCATCATGCAGTTTGGATGCTTTGTACAGCTGGAGGGACTAAGGTAATGGTCACCACTTTTACAACAATGAGGTGCAGACCTTTATGTTGAAGTTTTCACATTCCAAGATGTTATGCTTTATTGACACTTTAATCAAATTAACTATACCAAGTTTTTAGAAATTTATGTTTTTGGGTTTTTTTGGAAGTGCCAGGATCAAGCCCAAGACCTCTGGGCAAGGTCTCTGCTATATACTGCTATACCACCACTCTTTGACTTTTTTTTTTTTTTTTTCTCATGATAAGACTGGAGCTTGAGCTTATGCTCTGGTTATTATCCTTAGTTTTTTTTTTTTTTTTTATTATGGCTGGCACTGTTAGAGTTACAGCTCTACTTCTGCCTTTTTTGCTGGTTAGCTGGAGATAAATTTCATGGCTTTCTTGTCTGGACTGGCTTTGAATCAAGATCCTCAGGTCACAGCCTCCTGAGTAGCTAGGATCACTAGATCCTGGCCTTGTCCTTTTTTTTTTTTAATGTGCTAGAGCTTTTCTTCCTCAACTTTGAGAAGATCTACCCTTTGCTGGAGAATTTATATCTCCTCACCCTATCCTCTTAACCACATCTTTTCTTTGGGAGGGTGGTAATGTTAATATTGTTGTATTATTTGACCTTCTTGTTATTTACCTTGTGGGCTTAGGATCCTTCTCATATTTTTGGAGACAGAGTCTTATCCCATAGCCCAGGCTGGCCTCAAACTCATGATTCTCCTGTCTCTGCTTCTAAGTGCTAGGATTAGAAGAAATGTGCAAAGACACCAGGCACAGTGGTGACTCAGGCCTGTAATCCTAGCTTCTCAGGAGGCTGAGATCTGAGGATTGTGGTTCAAAGCCAGCCCAGGCAGGAAAAATCCATGAGACTCTTATCTCCAATTAACTACCAGAAAACTGGAAGTGGCGCTGTGACTCAACTGGTAGAGTGCTAGCCTTGAGCTGAAGAGCTGAGGGACAGCACCCAGGCTTAAAGTTCAAGCCCCATGACTGACAGGAAGAAAAAGTGTGCAAAAACTGTATTTTCTTTTGTTTGTTTTCAATAAGGGTAGATACTGGTTTAGGAAAAAGGGTTTTTAGGCATGATCCAAATATGACTGTGTCTCCCTTAGGAAGCGGTGGGAAGGCCTGGTGCATATCTCTGAGCTTCGGCGGGAAGGCCGTGTGGCCAATGTTGCTGATGTAGTGAGCAAAGGCCAGAGAGTCAAAGTCAAAGTGCTGTCCTTCACTGGGACCAAGACCAGCTTGAGCATGAAGGTAGGTAAGATGTCCAGCCAGTTGGCACATCTGTTGACCAAGAGAGTGTAAGAAGAGCAAATGAGCTAGTTCCTGTGTTTCTGTGCCCCAGGATGTAGATCAAGAGACGGGAGAAGATCTAAACCCAAATCGACGGCGAAATCTGGTTGGGGAGACCAATGAGGAGACTTCAATGCGGAATCCGGACAGACCCACTCACCTCTCCCTTGTCAGTGCCCCCGAAGTAGAGGATGACTCTCTGGAGCGCAAGCGCCTCACCCGCATCTCTGACCCAGAGAAGTGGGAGATCAAACAGGTTAGGGCCATCATCATTCACAGCCACAGGGCCATTTATCATGTAGCATGGTGGTCTAGGATGTGGGCCCTAGGCACCGGTCCTGGTGTGATTTCTGACCACTTACTAATTGTGTGGTCTTTGACTCATCTGTCAAACAGGGCTACTAGTGACAGTGTGGGAATACAGGTGAATAGAGTTAACTCTTAGGTTGGTGCCTGACAGATAGTAGTTGCTGTTTAATTCTTTGTTATTGTTTCCACCATTTTCTGTGAAGCATTAGAACCAAGATGAACCAAGAGCTGTTTAATAGTAGGGCTCCAAAAACAAATGATTCATTCACTTGAGGAACTTAAAAAGCCCAAGGGTGCTAGAGGCTTATGTCTGTAATCCTAGCTACTCAGGAGGCTGAGATATAAGGATCATGGTTCAAAGCAGCCAGGCAAGAAAGTCTGTGAGACTTCTTTCTAACCACCAAAAAGTGGAAAGTGAAGCTTGTGGCTCAAGTGGTAGAGTGCTAGCCTTGATCTGAAGAGCTGAGGGATAGTGCCCAGGCCAGGAGTTCAAGCCCCACAACCGACAAAAAAGAAAGAAAAGTGTTGATCTAGCAATTACAAATGCTGCCTTCTATCCTTTGGCTAGATGATTGCTGCCAATGTCCTTTCCAAAGAAGAGTTTCCAGACTTTGATGAAGAGACTGGCATCCTTCCTAAGGTGGATGATGATGAAGGTAACGTGTCCTTTGTATTGAGTGGGATAATGGGTTGGGAACATAAATAAGTCATTGGGCTGTTGGTAGTTCAGCCCAATGTCTACTAATCATCTATTCCTCTGGGCTTACCACTTGCTTCTTGTTGAAGCACAAAGGCCAAGTGTATATTGTTATACTTACTGCTTATAATAAGTTTATAGGTTATAGAAGGTTATAATTGAACTCGGAGCTGCTGGTTTACACCTATAATCCTAGCTACTCAGGAGGCTAAGAAGGATTGAGCTCCAGAGTCAGCCTGAGTAGACAAATCCAAGAGATTCTTCAGTTAGCCAGCAAAAGGCCCGAAGTTGGAGCTGTGATTCAAGTGGTGGAGTGCCAACTTTAGTGTAAAAGCCAAGCAAGAGCTCAAGGCTGTGAGTTCAAGGTCTTGTGCTGACACACAACAAAAGGGTTATAATTTTATTTTAGGGAGTCAATAATGATTTTGTAAACTTGGTAATTATTGCATAATTGCTGGATTTACCTAGATGATTGAGTAATTGCTGGATTTACCTAGATGATTGAGTTGCCTCAGAAATAGTAATTAGTTGGCTGGGAAGGTGGCTCAGTGGTAGAGTGCTTGCCTTGCATGCATGAAGCCCTGGGTTCGATTCCTCAGTACCACATAAGCAGAAAAAGCCGGAAGTGGCACTGTGGCTCAAGTGGTAGAGCGGCTAGCCTTGAGCTGAAGAGCTGAGGGACAGCGCCCAGGCC